CACTTTTCTCTTTTTGTCTTATTTTTAACTAAAGCCCCCCACTTTCGGTGAAGTGAGAGGGTAGCTTTTCTATTTTTAAATATTTGTTGTATATATATATAGCTTATTTATTTTATTAATACTTTGATGTATATATATATATATTTTTCTTTTTTCAAATATTACTATATATAATTATTACTTTACTTTTTTTCCTTATCTTATTTATTTATTTTATTTTTTTCTTTTTATTTTATTCTCTTTATCTTATTTGTTTTTTTTACCTTGTTTATCTAATACATTTCTCGATTTTTTAAGGATATTTTCAAATCAATCTAAGGTAAGTAATCAGGATCAAATTTTACCTTTTTATTTAAAATTACAATTTTCTTAATTTAAGACAACTGAAAATTATGTAGTACCGAAAGGGCGGTTCAAGGGTACTAATCATTCATTGACCGTAACAGACTCCCGAACTCGACACGTTTCTGGTACAACGCAGATCAGGTAAAATGGTGTCCGACCCACCTAAATTCGTTTTAAAGTGGTCGGTGGCGACTCCAATCCACATTTTCCTAAGTCGAAGCCCAATTTTAGGCTCAACCGAAAGACGATTGCGACAGAATGAAAATACAAATGAAACATATATTAGTATTATTTTGATCAAAGAAATGTAAGTACCTTTTGAACACAGATAACTCTGCAGACATTCACTAAGTGGTCTGTATCATGGTCGAACAATGAAAACAATCAATTTATGCAAAGTGGCTTGGACTTGTTTTAGAAATTTGGTGAGTTTATAACAAAAGAGCCTGGATATTTCTCTTAAAATTTGGATATAATGGGAACTTACAAATTCTTTCCACCAGTAAAGCTTTTGAACAAGTTTCTGATAGAACAACAAAACAATTACTTTCCAATATTTGAGAAGTTAAAAGAAGGGATACACATATTTGGAAGTTCAAGGAAGAATCAGAAAGCTAATTCTCCTTATGCTTGAGATTACATCAGAAAGCTTGTTTAGAAATCATGAGTAAATCTTTCATCTTCTCCTTTTGGCATTCATGGAGATTGTGGCCTAATATGGCCGGGGAACTTACAGTTCGATTAATTTAGTCAAGAAAGAGATGCGGGGAACTTGTTTACAAAAACATAATACATAGCAACAACACTGCATATTTATAATAACTTACAATTATGTTAACTTGGATATAGTTGCTAATAATAAAAGAAGAAGGCGTTAAGAGAAAGAACAAATGTGGAATAATGAAATGATGGATATAATTTTCCATCTTATCTCATTTTCTTATTTCCATGCACAGACTCCATCCAGCTCAGTTGGTAGAGCACAAGTCTCTTAACCTTGGGATCGTGAGATTGAGTCTCACGGAGTGCATTTCATAATTCGGAGGTCTCCTACGGAAATTGCTCTCAACCTGGCGTTGGGGGCAGCCTATTATCCTACCTCCCACTTACCCCATTACATATGGAACAAAGGTCAACTAATTTTTATTTTAGTTTGACATATAAAAAACTTGAATTAAATTGCGATATCTATAAGGTTTTATCTTCAAATAATTACCTGTTTATAATATTTGAGAGCGTTGTTTTTACCTTTAGAATAATAACTAATTCTCATTGGTATAAACATAATTGTAGAAAAGAAGAAGATGAAAATACAACGATTTGTTAACACAATTCAGATTTAACTATTCTTAGTGTTAAGAGTTCTAGTGACTTGAATTCGAATATTATATCAATAGATGTTGATCAAGAATAGAAAGCCTAATTTGAATATGTACATGACTATAGTTCTAGTGTCCACTTGTGATACTACACATTCGAAAAGGAAATCAAACCAAGCTATCCATGAACTTGCATAGCTAGAAAGAAACTCAGGGTAAGATAAGTTTTGGTTTACTCCAAGTTTTAATGAATGATGCTATTTACTTTCCATTGATTTATTCTATACATGTTATAATTACTTTTAATAAACACTATATCAACAATGAATGTTGTATATACTTATAATGAAACATTATCAACATTCCATTCTCTTTCAGTGGCTAGGACATCTGGCTTTCACCTAGGAGACCCGGTTCAATTCAGGCAATGGAAATTTTTTATTATATTTTTGAACTTTTCTTTAATTGAAAAGAATATCTCATTAATGATTCTTATCTTGTCATTTTATAGCTAAGCTAGGCTCTTAGACTAAACATTAGCATTTCCGACACAAAGTACGCAACATTTCATTAATCAACATTTCCAACAAGCATCCCCTTTCCTCCTTGTTTTTGGATGACCTTTTGAACAGCTTGAGTAATATCTTTGATATCTGTAGTTTGTTGGTGATGATCCACAACAGTGGCTTCCATGCCAAAAAAATGGTTGCTACAAACTCTTACTTGAACAACATTCACACCCACTTCTTCCAACGCGTCCATAATTGACACCAACTTATCCCCTCCTATCTTGCATCTCACTTTAACTACAAACCCTTCTCCTTTCTTCTCCACCTTCACATCTTCCTAAAACACCATCAATGTATATATAAATCCAAAATGAAAAAACGTAGATTATTTATAGAGGTAAACATGGGGTTTACCTTTGGGATTTGCATATGATCCAATAGAGTGAAGTATTCGTTTCTAATGGCCATAAACCCTTGGTACTCTCTTTGTATTTCTTCCAACTTGGCCCTAACCTTGTGAAAATGGAGAAGAACGTTAAAGATGATGGAACTCCTTTTAACCTTCAAAAAACAAAAGAGTAGAGTTAACATCATGAACCAGAAAAGCTTTTTGAATCAAAACCAAGCTTAGTTTTTGTAGCTACAGATTTGGAATTGTTGAGAGTTCGCTTAAGTTGAAGCTTTCTGCGAGACGCTGTTCTTCTTTGAAGCTTATTTGCCATCTCTGCCTCTCTCTCTTCACTATGTGATGATTTCTTTGAAGGTATGGCCTAGATTTTATGAGATGGGAAAAGGGTTTGTCTTGGGATCCATAAATAGCTAGTTACCATGTGCTTGTCCTATATGAAAATGGAATTAAGCTTATTCTTTGTTTACAGATATGGCTTTTCCAGTTTGAATGGTTTTAAGCTATTTACTTAGGTAGTCGAATCATGTGACAAAATGATAATCTTAAGAAACAGGCCGCTAACGGGCTAACAAGAAATGCCAAAATGATAAGGCCTAATTTGAAATGATGGATAAGAAGTGGATTATTTGGTTGTCATATTGTGATATTTGCATGGGAAGGGATGTGGGAAATGAGTCAGAATCAGGCAATCAATGAAGCCATTGGCATTGGGGAAACAGTGTCAGTCAATGTTTATATATATCATTCTGGTTGAAGCATATTTCAGTCATTCACGGGCCATTTCTTAATGGGGTTTTTTTCATCTTTGTTTGTCACTCCGAAAGCAAGGGCCTTTGCCTGCTGCTAGTGCTATAGCCACTGAAGGATTTCATGCCTCTGTCACTCTCACTTGTGTTTTATTCTTTATCGTTCTTTCTACTTTCATCATGTCCCATCTTTAAACCCAGTTGTCTACTTATTCTGGGTACTTTTTCAATTACTGAAACCCTCTCTCATTAAAGACCTATACATAAATCATGCAGATTTTACTATAAACCCTAAACCCTAATCATGAAAATACTAATGATGACCTAGTTGGTTACATTTGATAGCATAGAATAATTTGCTATTATTATTATTCCAATCTAAGTGAAAAGGGTCAAAGACTTGATATTCGATGGCATAAAACTGTTTCTTTGTCCTTTTGTACTTGACATTTCCCCCTCAGTTTCTACCATAATTTTTTTTATAGAAATTGACGCTGTTATCCCTTTCTTTCAGGGAATCAGGAGTCACATGAGCAAACTACGGTGCTTGCAACTTGACAAGCACTGTGTTCTAAGTTTTAGGAACGGTTTGTTTACTTTAGAATAATTAAGCATTAAATGATTCAAATGTTGAATGATTCAGAGGCTCTGTATGAATTAGCTCTGAATGTGACATGCTGTTTGATAATAACTCTGAATCATTCAGAATATATTTCTGTGCTAAATCATTCAACACTGTTTTACTGAATCAGTCAGCACTGAATCATTCAGAGATGAGAAACAAACAGTCAGCATCCAACGCTGAATGATTCCATTTAGAGTCAAACAAACAGCCCCTTACTTTGGAAATAAAACAATTGTTTATCCAAAACAAGGGGCTGAAAGGCCTCATGTGCAAGCCTTTGGGGATACCCAATCTGTTGTTTTTGTAGGAAATGAAAAATCACAGCTCTGTAAAATTATCAGAAAGCTGAAGTACTCTATAGCTCTGCATTATAACACTGTCTACAGTCTGTGATCACATACAAATTAGAAGCAGCTAAAGATAATCCAAGTTGTGCTTTGGGATTAGACGCCTGGTAAAAAACTGAAAAATAACAAAGAATACAGCATTTAAGAGCCAAAAGTCCATATCAATTACATGTGGGGCTTGATTTAGGCCCAAAATACCATTCACACCATCCAGTATACCATCAATATCTGCCTAAGTCTTGTTTAACAATGGTATTTTGTTTAGACTGAAAGACTTCGAGAAGTTTGAATCAAATGAATATTTTTTTTTATTGCCCTCCGGTTTCTCATTCTTTTGTCCTAATTAATTCGGACTGACCCGTGTTATATAGATGACTTTTATGGGCGAGTCTTTCGACAGAAATTTTCTGCATACACAAAACCTGGACTCGATACCTACTTAAGTGATGTCAAGTTGTTTACCACTTAAACCAACCTCGTTGATTGAATCAAATGAATATTGAGATTACTGCATGATTAGGATGTTGGTGTTTTCCTCAAGACCGTTTGTCCGTTTCTGCAACATAAATTAGATTTCAGGTCATAACCGTGTACATTTCTTGATTACACCAAATGGGAAGGTATATATTTCACGTCATGATGTATTCGATGAAAATGAATGTCCTTTTATAGCTAGTAAGATTTTTCAAGGTTCAGACTCATGTCAAGAAGGGATGAACATGAACCAGGAAGGTTGCACGTGGTTCCTGATATAGAGAAAATGCTAGCAGGATTTCGTGTAATTACTCAAGAAATGGAGATGCAAGAGCGCTCAGTGGATGCACAATCTAGTTCATACAGCCTGCCTTGTTCAAATGAGTTGGCAAGGAGTAGTGAAGATGGGAATTCACCTCCTATGTCAGTGAGAATATGCCCATGATACGTGATGCAGTGGTACCCTGAAGCACCTGAATATGTGAATTTTTATCCGACGATAACCAGGAGTAAAAAACAAAAGCATTTCTTTCTATGGGTACTGATAAAGAAACTGAGACTGTCCAAGAAGCTTTAAGTTTCGGTCATTGCAGAGGTCAACACAAAATAGTATGTTAAGGGACGAAAACATATTATACTAATAAAAAATTCAAAGAAAATAACTAAATAATATATAATTTTAAAATTTTCAAGGGATGACAGTCTCACCAACCCTCCTCGGTCCATTCCTATATCATTAGAAAGAGGTTATGATGGCAGAATATGATGGTCTACATGAAAGTTGGTACCAGGGATGGATTGAAGACGGGTGGGGACAACTGTCCCTATAAATTTTAAATTACTATATATTTTACATATTTTTTTGCATTTTTAATGGATAATATATTATCTTATAACTCTTAAAATTTTAAAAGTTCTCCTCTCTAGCATAAGATTTTGAGTCCTAACATAAGATATTGTACAAAGCAATGATGATGGTTCTACAAAGCAAGGTTGGCAACAAAATGTTTTTCTCAAGTTCATGGTCAGGACTTCAGAGAAACATTCAGTCCAGTTGTGAGGTCTTCAATACTCAATATTTTATTATCTTTGGCAGTGTCGTAGAGCTTAAGAGAAGTAGATGTTAATAATGTCTTCCTTAATAAGAAATTGGTACTCAAAACTTAACTGGTACTTGCATGTTGATTTATGTGGATGATAACCGCGATTTTATCATTTCTTTTTTCAAATTTAACCAGAGTTGACTCATTCAAACTGGCCACCACTCCTATGGACTCCATAAACCTTACCGATCAGTGAAAATGCGGATCCATTAGACACAAGTCCGCCAGCGTCACGACAAAAAAGGACTTTTTGCAACACCATATCAGCAACACTTGATGAAAAAACTTGTATATATCAATGTCAGGTCCTATTAATCGATCTGAACCTATCACTGTGAACAAGTCGTCTGTTTTGTCAGAACCCCATCTCGGTTTGCCTTACCGACAACAGCAATGCAATGTTAAATGAATCATCACCGGACCCACTCCGGAGAACAATGTTTCATTTAAGCTATTAACTAATACCCTAAAGTATCAATCAAAAAGAGAGGTTTGGTATTATAAAAATGAATGTATCGTTTTCATAGGTTGTTGATAGATTCCAATACTGTGATTCATTAGAGCAAGCTTAAATTCCTTTCTGCTCCTTTTGTTCCCTTGCTTGTGTTCCTTTGTTTCCATTTCAAGATCACTTCAAACACTACATGTGAAATAACATACCATTTCCCACTTGTTGGTTAATGGAGAATATCTTACTCAACTCAAGTCGGCAAATGATGTCATGAACTAGTCTATTTGATGCAGTATATATTAAGAACTCTCTCATTGCTTCTAAGTTATCCCGAACCATTGATAATCAATATTCAGCTATGGTATTTCCTGATTTTCCTGGTTTCTTTTGCTCACTCTTTTTTTATTATCACAATATTTTTCCTTGTTTTGTTGTAGGAGAAAATGGAGCTCGTTGAAGACAAGGTGAATTGGAAAGGGAAAACAGCTGTGAAGAGTATTCATGGAGGAATAAGAGCTGCTTCGTTCGTTCTAGGTAGGTCAACACTTTATAAATAATGTACAAGAAAGTTTAGGTTATAAATGGTTTCTTGTTATCTGCAGTGGCGTTTGGATTAGAGAACTTGGCAAATCTTCATATGGCTGTGAACCTGGTGACTTACTTCAATGGAGTTTTACACATGGAATCATCTGATGCAGCTAATGCTTTAACCAACTTCATGGGGACTGGTTATATCCTTTCCATTCTCTTCGCCATCTTCGCGGACACTTATATTGGCAGATTTAGAACTGTTCTAATTTCTGGGTTCATCGAGTTTCTGGTACGCTATTGCTTGATATCATTACCATCACTACTCTTTCATGGCTGACTGGTTTTTTTCGTTTCTGTTTATGATTGATTGTCAATTCTCTAGGGACTAGCATTGCTCACGGTGCAAGCTCACTATTCGAGCCTCAGGCCACCACCTTGTAACGTCTTCGATCCGACTTCTCGATGCGAGAAGCTCGAAAGTAGTCATGCTGTGTTCCTCTACGTTGCTCTATACTTGGTTGCAGCCGGAATGGGAGGGATTAAAGCCGGAGTACCATCCCATGGAGCCGATCAATTCGACGACAAAGACCCTCGAGAAGCTAAGCAAATGTCCAGTTTCTTCAATGGTTTATTGTTTGTTTTGTGTGTTGGTGGTGCGGTTAGTTTAACTCTCTTCGTCTGGCTTGATGATCATAAAGGATGGGATGTCGGATTTGGAGTCTCGTCCATCGCCATGTTCCTGGCGGTCGTTGTTGCTGTACTAGGATGGCCATTGTATAGGATCCATGTCGCTCAAGGAACTAGTGCTATTGTGGAAATCATTCAGGTTTTTGTTGCAGCAGTCCGCAATAGAAATCTTGAACTCCCTGAGGATCCTTTAGAGCTTTATGAGATTGAAAATGACAAGGAAGCTGGTTTGGAAGACGACTTCCTGCCTCACAGGAACGTTTTCAGGTTTCTTGATAAAGCAGCCATTCAAACAGCATCACAGACACCAAATCCATGGAAACTCTGCAGGGTAACACAAGTTGAAAGCGCAAAGATCATACTCGGAATGATCCCGATTTTCGCTTGCACCATAATCATGACCCTTTGCTTAGCTCAACTCCAGACATTTTCAGTCCAACAAGGCCTTACAATGGATACAACAATCGTCGGCTCTTTCCATATCCCCCCTGCATCTCTACCGATCATCCCTGTTGTCTTCTTGATCATCCTCGTCCCGTTTTACGACCAAATCATCGTTCCCCTTCTCCGTAAGTTCACCGGACATCTCACAGGTGTCACTCACCTTCAACGTATCGGAGTGGGCCTCATACTCTCATCCGTGTCAATGGCGATGGCTGCAATCATGGAAGTGAAACGCAAATCCGTGGCTCGAGACCACAACATGGTGGATGCTTTACCGGTGCTCCAACCATTGCCCATCAGTGTCTTCTGGCTATCATTCCAGTACTTCATATTTGGAATTGCAGACATGTTCACCTATGTCGGTCTTCTCGAATTCTTCTATTCTGAAGCTCCGAAGAAACTTAAAACGGTATCGACCTGCTTCCTGTGGACATCCATGGCACTTGGGTACTATCTAAGTACCATTATGGTTCAGATAGTGAATCGAGCTACGAAAGACGATACGAGAAGTGGGGGTTGGTTAGCAGGCAACAATATTAACAAGAATCATCTGAATCTCTTCTACTTGTTGCTTTCTTTAATGAGTTTGGCCAATTTCATTATATATTTGATTGTTTCAAGGTTTTATAAGTACAGGTCTGAGAACAAAACAGAAGCAAGCTAGCTCCTGATTTGGTTTCGATGTTTATTTGAAATGAAGTTGGTGATATGATATAGAGTTGGAAATGTATTTTTATTATAATTTGCCAAGTCAACTGACTGCTGCAACTGGTTTGCATGGTGAATTACTGTAAGTTATTGTTGTGGTTTATTTATTTGGGTCAATAAAAGTTTGCTTAAATCAATGGCTTTATGAAGTAAAGAGAAGCAGTGATCTTATGGTGCAAGTTTGTGTGTTAATAACTAGCATGTGATCATAATTAAAATTACGCATACATGCAGAGAATCTGCGTAATGGTAGATAAGAGGTTTTCACATGTTGATATAAGCTGGATCCTGGATGACTTGCATCTATTACAAGGAACCCAACGCAGTTGGAAAAATCATTGGACTGAATATTTAAAATTGATTAAATATTTTCTAAAATAATTTTAAAAGGTTTAATATAAAAATAAGTATCCAGATTATATACTTTTTCTCATTTAGGTGCCTAAACTTTTTTTTGGTCAATTTAGGTGTCTAATGTTTTCAATGTTATCATTTAGATGCATACGGCATAATGACCGTTAAGAAAATCCATTAAAAATAAATCAACCAACCAATATTTAACATATGGCTTGATTTTCCCTTTAATTGTTTTAATAAATAAAAATCAAATTTTCAAAAAAAGAAAAACTCTAGTTTTTCCTATTTTTCATAAAATTCCCCAAGATCTTCAATTCACTCGCCGACCACCACGACAGCCAGCAACCACCTACTCACCCATCGGCCACTTACTCGTCGATCACCTTATGACATTCACAGGACGATTGGGATGGATATGTGTTGGGATTTAGGGTTTAGATTTAAGGGGTTAGATTTAAGGATCTTGGGGTTTGAAGCTATGATTGACAACGACGATAGGTAGGCGACAGATGGGAGTGGAAGCGGCCCTGGATGGCCGACTGATGGAGTGGATGCTATGAGATTAAAGATTTTGAGACTTAAGAAATATTTTGGAGGTTCTTTTTTTTAAAAACTAATAATGATTTTAAGTTTTTCTAAAAAAATTAAATTTTATAAAGATGCCATGTGTCACGTTTTGATTGGTTGATAATTTTTTTTACGTCTGTTACGGTTGAGACACCTAAATGATAATAGTGGAAACGTTAAGCACATAAACTGGCAAAAAAAATTAGGCACCTAAATCGAAAAAAATATGTTTTGAGTTTATATTAAGACTTTTTAAAATTTAAAATAAATATTTGATTTGAATCTGACGAATTTTAATTTGATCGAGTTAAATTTTAAAATATTTAAATTCAAGTTAGATGATTTTTTTAAGGAAGCGGTCGAGTCAAATTTGATTTTAGAGTAAAAAAAACTTGACTCAATTTAACCCAACTTGATATAACATTATAATTATCTCTTATATATTTTGAGAAAATTACAATAATTAATCTTTATATAATTTCTAATGAAATCATTTTATCTAATAAAAATAAATTTTTATATATTTACATTAAGTTAAATACAAATTTTTACTTAAAAGTTGAATGTGAATCAATAAAATTAAGGGTAAAGTAAATAAATGGTCTCATGACTATTAGATATTGTTTTATTGAGTATCTCTGTAACCCCCAGAATCGGTCTGTAAGTTAGACCCATACTTAAGTGGTCACAAATCTCATTCAGATATTTTTTTAAATAACTTATAATACATTAGATATAATACATAACAAAATATTAATAATACGGATATATCCAAAACGATAGCAAATACATGTCACCAAACACAACTAAAAAACATATAGAGATATACGTTCATACAAAATAAGTAGTTGATCTTCTCTGATGCCAAATCTGCTAGCTTACGGTCTGTTGTTATCTGAAAAAGTAAAAACTACATAATGGGCTAAAAAGCTCAGTGTGCTCCGTACAGTGTATATAAAAACATACTGATAAAATTTTTTCAGTAAAATCGATTTATGCAAACATGTCGTTAAAAATATGAACACTACCCCATCCGATCACAACAGAATGTGTAGGTTCCCCATAACCATACAACCCCGGCACAACAGTAAGGCCTGAGCACACAGTCGAGGAGCCTGCATATATTCTTCCTCCAACATATATCCCCCTAATGATATTAATAAACATGAATGCATCCGAGTGAAAACAATGATTAATCCTTTAAAACATGAAAATGTTTCATGCTTAGAAGTCATATACAAAATTACAGAAAACAAATAAAATCGAATCATTAACGTACAGTAAATCATATATCATATAAGCCATATTCAGAAATCAGGTATAAAAATATACCGTAACCAGAGATCATATCATAAGTGTGCCATAAATCATATATCAAACAGACGGTATTCAGATCGATATTTTAAAACAGCTGTCGGGAAACACACCTGTAACAGTATGAGAAATCATATAGGGAAGCCTATTAATGGGTCTGTTGATCACGCTCTGCTGCAACGCTACATCCTACGAATTAGAAAAATCCATATTGAAATCCTAATATAAATAATCTATCTTTATTTAAATAATATACGGAAACCTACGAGTAATTCTTGTAGTACGCGGTTCAGGTTGATCTAACGAACGGACAACTCCGGACCTAACTGATCCTTGCTCAGGTGAAACATGAGTACCTTCATAAAATATTTTTACTGAATCAATTCCTTACCCAAATCTCAAATAAATAATCAAAATACTAAAATACTAAGCCTTTTGGGTTCACATGCTCGATTCGGAAATTTCGGGTCAGAATTTGGCAAAACGGACTTTGGAATTAGATTCAGGACGTCGAAAAACATAAAATATGACCTTCCGGAAATTTGAATTCTTGGTCAAAATCATAGTCAACAGGTTTGACTGACGATTTGGAGACTTTCGTGTTCGAATTTAGTGAAAGGACCCCCAAACAAATTCGGGACGTCAAAAAATGTCAGGATAGGTATACTCGGAAAATATTAACGGTCGTTTAATGACCGGTCAAAGCCGATCAAAGTTCTAGTCAAAGGTGATCAAGATATGATCAACCATTTTACACATTTATCACTCTTTTCAAAAAATTTACAAAAATATCACCATTTTCAAAATAATTACTAAACTATATATTTTTTTTAAAATTACGAAATTATCACTTAAAATTTATGAAAATAGCACTATTTTCAAAATAATTATCAAAATATCACCATTTTCAAAATAATTACTAAAATATTACCCGGTCAACGGTCAACGGGTTGGGTTGGAATCGGTCAAACCGGTCATTTTAACTTTCCCCACACGCAGTGAGGGTGCGTGGGACCTCTTCCGGCAGCATATAATTCACGAAAAAATTCCTAAAAATTATTTTGAACGATTTCGAGGTACTTACAAAGCTCGGTTCAAATTTTTGAACGCGAAAAACTCAATTTCAACAAATCGGAAATTTTGACCGTCTCACCTCCTCACGCGCCACCGTCGACGGAGACCAAGAATGACACCGACAGACTCGAAACAGTACAAGGAACACGATGGTGTGGGAGGTGTCGAAAACGGATCAACGATCGGCGATGAATTTAAGATTTTCTCGGCGATGGTACTAAAAAAAGTCGAGACTTTGACTTGAAATTCACGATGTTTGGCAGTATTTCACTTCAATTAACTTAAGGGATTTATTTCTCGCTCGATGATGAACATGATGGTGTTTACAAAACAACGATTGGAAGTCAGACGACGTCGGGATCGTGGTTGGAAGTTGGGGCTTTGAGGGAGGAAATTTGGTGAAATTCATTCAGAATGAATTTCAAGCTTATAATGCGTGTATGCCGACACTCCAGGGGTAAATTCAAGGTTTGGTCCCTAAATTTCCTTCATCTTTAAAATAAGCTACAAGTTTTAAAAACTTTCAATTTAGTCCCCAATTTTACCAAATTACTTAATTGAATCCTCAAATTCCAATTAAATATATTTTATTTTATTTTTTAAATTTCTGGGTTGTTACAATTCTCCCCCTCTACAAGAAATTTCGTCCTCGAAATTTACCTTATAGAAATGGATGAGGAAATTTAGCCTCCATTGACTCCAAAGTCTCCCAAGTAGCTTCTAAGGGACTACGATTACTCCACTGAACTTTGACCATTGGAATACGCCTATTCCGAAGAACTCACTCATCCCTCTCTAAAACCTGAACATGCTCCTCCTCATATGACAAATCAGGTCTCAGCTCTACCTCGTCAACCTGGATGATGTGATCCGGATCTGGACGGTATCGCCTCAACATAGACATATGAAAAACATATTAAAATACGATACGGCACAATAAATCGCAGACTCAGTTTACCCTTACGTCCAAATCTCAATACCTTCTTCCATGGGGATACCTTGAGAAAAACCTGATATCCAACCTCAAACTCGATATCCTTACGTCGTTTATCTGCATATGATTTATGTATATCAAATGCCTCTTTTAAGCGATCACAGATCAATCTGACAGTATCTTCAGTCTCTCGAACCAAGTCTGGACCCAAAGTTTTTCTATCTTGCAACTCAGTCCAACATATAGGAGCACGACATCTACGTCCATACAGAACCTCGTACGGTGCCATACGAATACTCGCATGATAACTATTATTGTAAGCAAACTCAGCTAATGGCAAGAAATCTTCCCAACTACCACAGAAATCAATCACACAACCCCGTAACATATCCTCCAACACCTGAAAAACTCGCTTAGACTGTCCATCAGTCTGAGGATGAAAAGCTGTACTGAAATTCAAACGAGTACCCAGAGCCTCGCGCAAAGCCTTCCAAAACCTGAAGTGAACCTCAGATCTCGATCAGATATGATTGACAACGGTACACCATGAAGTTTAACGATCTCATAAATGTACAACTTAGCCAGTTTGCCCAGAGAATAATTAATTTGAATAGGAATAAAGTACGCTGACTTGGTGAGTCAATCAACAATCACCCAAATAGAATCATTTTTGGAAGGAGTCAAAGGAAGACCAATAACGAAGTCCATCG